TCCAGAAGCTTCCCCAGGCCCACTGACCATCTCTACCATGGAGGTGGCAAGTTGGAAAGATGATGTCTGAGGCCCCCACCGTGAGCTCTGAGATGTGGACCATGTCAGTGTCGCTCTCTGCTCCGTCCCAGTGACTGCAGCTGCATGCCAGGCACACTGGAGGGGCCTGCTGAATACTCGTGGTCTGGATGAATAGAGGGACTACTTTTTTGAGACCTACCAGAGAGGGTATAGGTCTGCCCCTTGTTGAGGACAAGTTGGGTATTCCTCCTCCTCCTCCTCCTCCTCCTCCTCCTCACTTTTCAAGTTTTAACAAAGGCAGATGAAGGCAGGACAGTCCCAGGGCTGAGACCCAGGGATGAGTGATAACCAGGCCAGCTCCCCTCCCCCCAGCTTTTCTGAGGTTTGCCGGCCAGTGGGAGTGTGTGGCCAGTGGGAGTGTGCGTGCAGGGAAGTAAGCCTATTTTTCTTCCCCGAGCCCCCCCTCCATTGCCTGCAAGGCTTTACCTCACAGATCTCTCTGCAGCCATTCCCAGCTCCCTGAAATCACAGCACTTGGCCGGAGCACCACTTGCAAGGCACTTCCTCACGGGCTGTAGCTGCCGTGGTGAGCACATCACCCTTGTCTCCTGTCAGGAGAGGAAACAGGATCAGGGAGCGGATTTGGGCACCTGGCCTGAGGCAGGAGGTGCGCAGGCTGCCCTCTTCCTCCTTGGCACGCGTCAAGGCCATGTGTGAGGTTCTGGGGACCAGGTCTCGATAAATAGTTGTTCCTGCCCTAACCGGTTTGGCTCAGTGGATAGAGCATCGGCCTGCGGACTGAGGGGTCCCAGGTTCGATTCCGGTCAAGGGCATGTACCTTGGTTGCGGGCACATCCCCTGTGGGGGGTGTGCAGGAGGCAGCTGATCGATGTTTCTCTCCCATCGATGTTTCTCTCCCATCGATGTTTCTGACTCTCTATCCCTCTCCCTTCCTCTCTGTAAAAAAATCAATAAAAATATATATTTTTTTTAAAAACAGTTGTTCCTCTCTTCCCCAGAAACGGGCACGGAAGCCTGGGAACCAGAGGAGGCCCCCCACACACCCAGAGCATGGCCTTTTCAGGGGCCCAGAGTGACCCCTCCCGTGCTGCTCACACACAGCCAAGACCCCTCCAGGCCACTGCTAAGCCTGCTGAGGCTTTGCGCTTTCTGTGGAGTCCAGACAGCACTCTGGTCTTGACACAGATGCCTGGAAAAGCACTCTGGCCCAGGGCTGCCTTTTGGGGTTGGAGAGAGGATGCCTGGGAGGAATCAGCTGTTGAGACTTTGCCCAGAGATACTGTGGTCTGGTGCTGACTTGGGCCCGAACAGCATGTAGGTCTGTAATTACGCTCTGCCAGTGGATTATCTGATGCCCGTCTCTTCCCGGATACCATGAGCACCCTGAGAGCACAGGGCCTGGCCCAGAGCAGGCAGATCAAAATGTCTGTTGAATGAATGAGTGAATGCAAGAGTGACCGAGGGCAGGCACACAGGCCGGTGAGCCAGCCAGCAGGCCCCTGGCCATCAGGTATGTGGCGAGGCCAGGTCCCCACTCCAGCAGGCAGCGCCAGGCCAGGCCCCGCCTTCCCTTTCCTCAGTGTGCTTCACCAGGCCCCTTGCTCTGCCCCTTCCTGAACGGAAAATGTGAGGCCCGGCCTTCAGAAGGGACGATGGGGGTGGGGAGCGGACATTACTCACCCCCCCCCCCCCTCCGGGCAGACAGGAAATCAGCACCAGGAGAACTGAGGGTCCTGCTTCCTTTTTCCTGCAGGGTCACCAGGAGTTGCCGGCTGGGTGGTGTCCTGGGGCGTTCCAGGGCCTCTTGTTTGAGTCTCTCAGATGAGATGCTCCTCTAGCCTCGGCCTCTGGGACCCACGGGGCCTCAGAGCTTCCTTCCCTCTGGGGGTAGGGAGCCAGCTGACCCGCAGGCCTGGGCCTCCCCTCCAGGGCCCATTGCCGGGCTGTGAGGCCTTTGGTTCTTTCAGGCTCGTCATCGGGTCTGTCATGGGAATAGCGAGCCTCCACCATGACATGCAAACAACCATAAGCCCACCCTGCCTTGAAGGAGCCTGCCCTTGGGGCTATAAGCTTTCTGAGGGCAAAAGGGGCATCTCCGTAGAAATGTATCTTATTTTTCTCCTTATTTCTAAAGTATTACATTCAATGTAAAAAATTTAGAAAAAGATAGAGGAGGAAAAAAAATGAAAATAAAAAAGACCAATGTTTAGGGCATATTTTTCTTGATCTTCTCCGTGTGTATAATCAATCTCATTTTCTTCAAAAAGTGGGGCGGGGACCATGTCGTTGCGGCCATCTTTTTTTCCACTTAATGTCGTTTGCCTCTGCCCCTGTGACTGAAGTGGCATTTTTAAAGGTGGTTTGGTTAGTTCAGTGACGGGGGGCCCCTTCCTGGGCCCTCTGTGTGCTGGGTCCCCAGCTGGTGACAGGCGGGGACCCTGTGAGTCAGGGCTATGACTCTGCTCTTCCTACCGAGAAGGAATAGCCTGCCCAGACCACAGTCTCTCTGACTCCAGAACCAATGTTCGGGCCACTCATGCGGAAGGACATGTAAGTCCCCCTTTTGCTTCATTAAAAGCAGGGCCTTGCCCTAGCTGGTTTGGCTTAGTGGGTAGAGCACCAGCCTTTGGACTGAAGGGTCCGGTTCGATTCCAGTCAAGGGCACATGCCTCAGTTACAGGCTCGATCCCCAGCCCTGGTCAGGGCGCCTGTGGGAGGTAACCAATCGATGTTTCTCTCTCACCTCACCGATGTTTCTATCTTTCCCCTCTAAAAAGTCAATAAAGACATATTTAAAAAAATAAACAAACAAACAGTGCCTCAGGGAGCATCCTCAGGACTAAGGCTTGAATCCTAAGTGCACCCCCCAGAAGTGATCCACAAGTGGCTGTTGAGTAACCAGGGGCAGAGACTGGGCCAGCGAAAGCCCCCGGAGCAGGCCACGCTGGTGTGATGCTGAAGGCAGCTGGAGCCGGCCTGAGGCATCCACGTCAGGAGGAGGCTGGGGAGGGAGGAAGATGCTGAAGGCCAGGATTGGGGCCCCTGGGTCGCATGTCTCCAGAAGCTTCGTACTCAGGCAAGGGTGTGGCCTGCAAGAATGCTGGGAACATGGAGAGGGGTGGAGTCACCTCTGTGGGCCTGAGGTCTGAACTGGACATGGCTCCCTGCAGGTGGGCCCCTGGAACTCTGCTGCGGCTCTCCTGAGGGGGCCCTGGCCTGCCCTGCCCCTGCAGTGTGGTCTTAAAGCAAGTTGTGCCCCTCTGACCCCTGGCTCCTGCCTCTAGTGTGGCCTGGGTGACGATAACCATTAGTTCTGTGTCCTCAGAAGCACTTTGTGAGACCAAGGCTTTCTGCCTCCCGACTTGCTCCCCTCAGGTGGGGCCTCCACTGCCCAGAAATGCAAACTGGGCGGCAGGGCAGTCCCCCGGGAGCAGGTGTGTGACTTGCTTGCCCTGGGCCCAGTAGTTACAGTGGCGGTGCCTCTCCTTTCCTCGCCGGCAGGGCCTCTGCTCTGCCCTGCTCCCCCCACCCCACAGTGGTCTTGGGGTGGGGGCGGTGTGCAGGCCCCAGGTCCCAGCCACCAACCTCGGATCCTGCCTCCACTCCCTCCTCCCTGGCTGTGTGGCCTGGGCCACATCACTTCCCCTCACTTATGGTGGGTGAAGACTGGGTGATGGTGGGCAGGGCTCAGCACACCCCTGGTGCCGGGGGAGGCTCAGTGAACGGCTATGGGGTCGTTTCCTCTGAGGTGGCCGGGCTGGTGCGAGGGGCTCACCGAAGGACCAGAGGCTGGGGTCCATGGCCACAGGCTGAGGGGCTATAGGTGGATCAGCACAGACTGAAAGTCGTCCTCCTCACCCCTGCCAGCTGCTATGGTCCCTCCTTGCTTGGTCCAGTCCTGCCTCCTCACCTGTTCAGGTCTCTCTTGGTCCCCTCTGCCCCCGGCCCCCTATAGGGTTCTGACCACAGCTTTCTATTCAACACTCACACCAGTGCCCTGAGTCCCTCTCTCAGTCCCCTAGAGCCGTGGTCGGCAAACTGCGGCTCGAGAGCCACATGCGGCTCTTTGGCCCCTTGAGTGTGGCTCTTCCTAAGCCTTAGGAGCACCCTAGTTAAGTTAATAACAATGTACCTACCTATATAGTTTAAGTTTAACAAATTTGGCTCTCAAGAGAAATTTCAATCGTCGTACTGTTGATATGTGGCTCTGTTGACTAATGAGTTTGCCGGCCACGGCCCTAGAGTTTTCTCTCTTTGGAAAGGGAGCTGGGCGTGGAGGGTCTGGATACTCCCAGTTTCTCCTGAATTCCCATCCCATTCCCCACCCACCTGTGCCAGAGCCCGTCAGGGAACCCCGAATCTTGCTCCTTGATCTGCAAACCCCAGATCTGTCCCAAGCTCAGCTGCAAGTTTGTTCTGCTGTCCAGCTGTTTGGGCAGTCACTGTGCCAGGCAACCCTGGGTGCCCCAGGAGTGTTCTCAGCCAGCGGTGGGAGCTGCTCGTGCGAGGGAACGGGCAGGGGACCATGTGCTAGTGCTGAAGGGGCGAGTGAGAGTTGGGGCCGGGCCAGGCAGACTCAGTGACCGCATTACCCCCGAGCCTTGGCCACTGCTAGTGTCCTCTGCAGACGGTGTCCGCCCTCCCACGGGGTCACCTCTGGGGTTGGAGCAGCTCTCCCCCTCCAGGGGCCATAGGATTCCATGGCCTATGCAGCCAACTCCCACGGCCCCACACCCGAGGTTGGGCATCCACCCTGATCATTGTCACATGGTGGGAGGATTGTGGCCGCTTCACCACAGCCGTCCTTTTCCTGCGGTGGGCTTTTAAGCTGAGCCTTCTTCTCTCCCCCTCACAGGCACATCTTGCCCTGTCCTGCCCCTGACCCCACTTGTCCGAGGTGAGGCTGGAAACCGGGTCTGGGCCGCCTCCTCCGGCTACAGGTCACCCTCCTCATTCTAGAGCAAGAGCTGTTGCTCCTATTTAAGGCTCTAAATATCCACACCGGATGGAGAGGCAGTGGCCTCCTGCCCTCCCCTCCCCCCAGGAACAGAGAACTGGGGGCCCAAGCCCTTCCGGGAATTGGCCATGGGCCACCCTGGCAGTCCTGGGTCACAGGAAAGTGTCCATCATCAGCTGGGCTGCAGGCAGCACAGACAATGCTGGGCTGTCCTGGTCTCTGGACACCGAAGACGAAGAGAGGCTGGGAGACAGCACCGAGGGATCCTTTATCCCAGGAGCAGGCCAGGCCTGCACAGCCCTGGCCTTGTGCAGGCGGCCAGGGTCTCAGGCCCCTCAGGCTCCCAGACACCTGGTGAGGAATTCGTGCAGGACAGGCTCGGGCCTGAGAGATGAGGGAGAGGGAGACATCCCCCTCCCCCACACACCTGAGATTCGCCTGGGCCATCAGGACACCAGAGCCTGCCCCTGCCTGTGCCCCTCAGCCCAGGGCGTATGTGAACCCCACTGCCTGCTGACCCTCTGGGAAGGCCCTGCTGTGCTGGGGGAGGGCATGAAGGAGAGGCATGGCCACCCTGAGCCTGTCCAAGGGCAACTTTCCCAGGAACCAGGAAGTGACCAGGGCCACGTTGGCGTCATCACTCTGACCTAAGGACTGGGATCCACCGAACCCAGACCAGTTTCCCTGGCCCTCACCCCCCCCCCCCCCCACACACACACACACACACAGGCTCAGGGGCAGGGCCCTGCCCCCATGAATCATTCACACATGGTTGCCCGAAGTGGCTTTGTTTGCTCTCAGAGCACATGATTGGTTTTGGGGTGGGAGGGTGGAGTGGGCATCTCATCTAGAGCTTTGCACATTGAATTAGCATTGATTTTCCACTGCCTGTGCTTGGCCTAGAGGGCGGGGCCAGGGGGAGTGTGGTACTTGGGAAGACACAGACCCAGGCAGTCTGTCCTGGGACTGTTTCCTCCTGGGCACTTAGGCCAGTGTGTGCTGGGGGAGAGGCTACAGGACGTGCGGTGGGGACAGGGGTGGGGTCTGCTCCATAGTACAGATGGGGTAAACCGAGGCCTAGAGAAGAAGGAGCACCAGGGGTGAGACAGGCAGCCCTGAGGCCCATCTGGGCTCTGCTGCTCGCTCAGTGTGACGGCTGATGAATTCCCTCTGGGAGCCTCTGGT